TGAGGATGCGTGACGGCGTTAATTATCGCATGTCACACATTATAGGTCGAATGAGGAAACGCTTTCGGAGTAGCTTTTCCTCTTGGCCAATCTAATCTCTTTGTGGGAGAGGAAAATTAAAAACCATACACAGAAAATGAACCAAATAAAATTCGGAAAATCCTAGAGTCGTATAGAACTTCAGCCAGGTGAATCGATAAGGTTCTCGAACTTCGCTTATCGCTTCGCTTCAATAGTTTTCGAGAGCAGTTTAGCATTCAGTAATACGCCGAGTGATTAGAAGATATGGTCCTTCTATCTTTAACATTCATATTCTAATGGATTCCAGCAATGCGAAAGAAATAAGGCACTAACGGGCGTTTTCTACGTGAATAAATGGTGCAGGCAACAAATGGCATGTCTCAAATACGATGATGATGCTAAATTTACTCCATAATTCCAGGAAACGGGACATTAAGAGAAAGGTGTGAACATTAGCAAGAAGCTATTAGGGGTTCGAAATAGCCAATAAAGTGGTCGACGTACGAAACCCTTTGACATACCGTGCACAAAACATTAAGAATCGTGTGGGATTACACAAAAAGCAAGGAAATACGTATTCCAGGTGAGAAAAGGCTGGCCGCGCCACGATGATGGAAAATACAGGGTGAGCCAAAAAAAAAAAAAAACAAAGCTATAATTTTTGTTGTCAATCTGATTGTATGGGGTCGATTCTGATGACATTTGGTATACACATAGGGTGACTCAATTAGGGTTTGTGTGCCAATTTTCAAACAAAAATTCCAAAAACTAAGAGACTGGCATTTAATTTACTTTTCATCACCAAAAAAAATTAAGTGTTCATTTTTTCTTTCAGCTAAAAAATTCTCAAAGCTGACGAAAACAAACAAGCAAACTAACAGAACAAAAACAGATGCCCAAATGCCAAACACAAAAAAAACCACAAATTGGTTTAGGGGCGTTCATTTTAACTGAAAAGGTGCCCAATGTGCCCATTCTGTTGAACGCAAGCCTCTAGTCTGGGGCACCACGGATGAATGGCTCGGTCAATAAACCTTTGTGGCAGTGCCTCCCAATCTTCCTTTGTAACATCATGCAGGGATAGAAGGTCAATGAATTCAGACCTCCCTTTCATTCCAGCCTCAAGTTTATATCGATCTTTTCGACAGCACATTTTGTCGTTGGTTATCAGAAAATAATTACAACTCCTATGATTTTAAAGCCAGATAGCTGAAATTTGGTATACAAACTCCAATTGTGTCACCCTATGAGCCAACCAAATTTAATATAAATCGGCAGCCTACAAAGAGATTGACAACTCACCAAAAATGATAGCTTTGTTTTTTTTTGGCCCACCCTGTAGGACTACTCGACTCGGCCGACTTGGCTCGACTGGGCTCACATGCACTGAGGATCCTGGCCGCAGAAGTAGGGGATGGTGAGGTCGTAGGGGAGGCCGGGGATAAAGCGGCACTCGGGGTCGCTGGCGTTCAGGCAGGCCCAGAAGAGTTCTGCCTCGGCGGTTCGCTTGTCTTCCAGCGTTCTCTTCGCCGTCCCGGAACTCGGCGTCGCTCGCATGTAGTAGAATCTGCAAGATTACGATTGGCTCAGAAAGGCTGGAGGCCAAATGAAGATAGGATTTGAGGGGGGGGGGGGGGGAGGGATTGCCAAGGAAATCACTTTTCATTTTGCTCTTCCGAAGACTAAGAATCCGTTTTCTTTCCCGCTTCGCTTATGCGCGGAAGCTGGAAGGTTGGTCTCTTTGAGGAACGTTTGTTCCGAAAAATCTCGACAATTATGGAAAGTTTTAAGATTATATTTGGCGAAGTGATAGGACATGTAAAGAGGAAATAATAATGCACATTAAAACTAAATTACAGATGGATCAAGTTAAAACCACTGATAAGTTGGTTTATTTACGTCATCTGCAGTTCCGAAAATTGTGAATTTGTGCGGCAAAACTTGGCATAGACGTAGGTCTCCGTGGGAATATAAATAAGCGTTTTCACAAGAATATGTTTAATGATAAGGCCATAATAAATGCTAAAGTGAGAACGAAACCCAGATCGCCCAGCCACCTCAAAGTGTGCGAATGCCTCATTTTCCTTCAAACTTCGTTCTCTTGCATCTCTGAGGGGTGCCAGCCTCCCCTTGCCCCCCCCCCCCACTCCCCTCCCACGACCTTGCCCCCGTTCCTGGCACGATCACGTATTCTAGCCTCCATAAATGGAAGACATGAGCGAGCGGGGCATACCTGGAGACGATCTTATCCACGGGGTCCCTCACGATGCTCACGTACTCCATAGCCGCAGACGAAAGGTTCGCGTTCTCCCTCAGATCCATGAAATACACGTGCCGGTCGAACGAGACGAAGGGAACCTCGCGCCTCTCCAAGGAATGCCTCACCCCGTCCACCAAAACCGCCTTCCAAACGGAAGCCAAACGTCAGGAAAGCACTCAGATCTCCTTAACGCTCTAACGGTCCACCACTTTAATCCGCGAACCCTAATTTAAATTTCACATTTCACCTTTTTCACCTTTCACATGTAACGCAAGATGTATAGAGTCGAAAATTCTCCACATTTTAAGCGAGTTCAACAAGTGCATATTTAAATCTGTAAACACATAAAAAAGTGAATTGTAACTATCCCCAAGAGCTGAAAAACATCTAAATGTAAGTATCTAAATATCTAAAATATGATATAATTTTGAACTGTTTCCTAATCCACGAAAAAAAAATTATTTTCGCAATTATTTCCATGCCAATTAAAGGATTAAGAAAATTGGTTACGTTGGGAACTGCTCGGCATATTATTATTGATATGATTAATCAATAAAAATAATCAATTTAAATAATGAATTTAAAATATATATATTTACAGCGAGGACGCGCAAATATTTATACATTTAAAACAACTCAAAAAATATAAATGAACCGGCCGACGTCGGACTCGATGCCACTCCTGCATTTAAGCCATGAAATTTCACTCAAGCGGCAGAATGATCCGAGTCGAATTGATTTTTCCGCCCACGTTCGCGGAACGACGAGAGCCGAATCGCGAGGCGTGTCGCCCCATTCACCTGTCGCCTGTAATTCCGAAATAAAGCCAGGTGACGCTTCTCCTTTCCACTTTCTCGCGTAGAAAGGGAAAGACGCAGGCTTTCGTCGAAGCAGCCCGCGGGCCTACCTGTTGGGCAGAGTCTAATTTCCGTAGATGGGAACCGGGGAGTCGAACGTGCTGGAAGCCGTTCGCGCCCTGCAGCCACTGAAGAAGAAGAACCACCAGTTCACTACCCGTTTTGGGGACTCGGAAGAAGAAGAGCGCGGACGAGGGCTCCGGTTCGCGTCGGCGGGAGCGCGAACCGCCGAAGGCGTAGAGGAGAAGGAAGACGATGAGGACGGGGAGGGTCTTGAGGACACGGGAACGGAATCCGCTCATCGTAGGGAAGATCGCACGGAAGAGAACGGAGGGGGACGGAGGGGGAGGGCCTCCACGATAGGGGCACCGAGTCCGTTCATGCCGAGCGAGAACGCACGGAAGAGGATGCGGGCGAGAGTGAGGCGAGTCCGTACGCGGGCGGAACACTTTCACGGCGTTCTGACCCACTTCGGAGGCTTCGGGGCTTTTTTTTTCTTTTTTGCTCCTCGCGTTCCTCTTCGCGGTGGGTATATTGGGCTTAACGATCGGGACAGATCCCGTGCTCACTCGAGGATGTCCACGCGGCAACGAAAGAGAGAGAGAGAGAGAGAGAGAGAGTCGTCTGCTTCGTTTCCCGCCTCCCTCCCGCTGGAGAGCGCGGCGCCCGCTTCGTTCTCGTCTCATTCCCACCCCGGCGCGTGGTCCAAGAGCATCTTCGCCCGGCATGCGGTCGTCGGGATCGTCGCTGTGATTCATGAGGTTTCCATGGAGTCCAGGTGAGGCTATTTTCGGGGTGGTGCTCCTCGTCGCCTTCTAAGCCCTTTTTAACCTTTTAATGCACGATTTTTTTTCGGCCAAAAAATTTGTAGGTTGCACTCACGTCCTAGAATATGGGTCTAGTGGAAAAAATTTTTTACATCAAATTTGTAAGCAGTAGGCCCGAAAATGTTATTGTTGCTCATTTGCTACCAACAGCATTTTTAACTAACCCATGCTTCATGGATGCTAGAGAGTTCAGTCGGTCCGTCAACATTCATACATACCTCAACACAAAAGAAAATGTAAAAATACAGATGAGCCTGGACTCTGGATCAGCGTAAAGTTTAAGAAAATAACATCAAAAACGTCAATCTGCCATACGACGAAGACAGATTGGTTTTTATTTGCTTGCCACCAGAAGTGTATGGCACCTAGCGACCGCACAGTTGCTAGGTATAAAGACCGGACTGTTGCGCATCTGCTACGTCATGCATTAAAGGGTTCATTTCGGGTGGTGGCTTTTCCAAACGGTAGAAATAAAAACGAACGTAAACGCGGCCGGGCACTAATGTAAAAAATGTTTCTTCGTTTCATCGGAAATTCATTCGCTCTCTTCGCTGTGCACCTCAATCGATGGCGAACGAATCCCGTTGAATCGTCCCATCATCGCAAGTCTGGCAAATGAATAAACATGGCAATTCGAACGTTTTCAGAAATGCAAATCCACTTTCTTTCTCTCTCTCTCGTCAGAAAAATAATATATATTTTTTTTTTCTGACGAGAGAAAAAACTCCAAGATTAAAGTTTTTACCTCGAAGTTCCGTCTTTGGAGACCCCCGTGCAAACTTGAATGCTCCTCAAACTTCATTCTCAAATCCGTTAACGGGAAAAATGTTGCTCCAAATAAATCCGTCAAAATAGCTTAGTTGTCAATTAGCCAGACTCGTGAGGATAAATGGAGTCATAAAATAAACGCCACGTCGTTTTCGATGAGAGGATGACAACTTCGCGTTCACGACCGATAATGTAAGTCCAACTAAAATCGGATAAGCGATCAGGGAAAGCATTAGAAGAGTTGGAATGAGGATGAGATTTTTGTTAATGCCCCTGTTGGAGCTTGTCAATGCCCCTGTTGGAGCCATACGGTATCACAGGCGGATCATTCAATCTCAAGTGCGCCAGCGGCCGGTTCTCGATTGTTTCGGAATGCGATGAAATCTGGTACGCAATCTGAGAATCAGCGAACAGCCGGAATCGATTCCTTAGCTAAAGGAAAGGGGAATGAAAATACGCCAGCACGTTTAATTGATATTTACACTCTGAAGGAGATTTGTAAAAAAATAAAATAAAATAAGATTTCAGGTATGAAAAAGATTGATTTCCCGGTTTTCGGCACCGGAATCGTGAGATCTCTGCCGAATTTTTGGTGGAACGAGTCTAGGCATTCATGAACCTAAAATTAAGGGATTTTGAGGTGTTGTGGTTCCAACATACTTTTTTTTTAATTGGAAAATTTTTTAATTATGGCGAATGGTTAGAAGTTGTGCCAACGAGGTTAACAACTGGAAAATTGAAACGCTAACAGCAGGGAGTCTCGCAGCCTTACGATGTTCGTGTTCATGTTCATGTCCCATGTTCACGTTCATTTGATGATTAACCTGTCTTGCCATTGTTAGTTGCATGTGCAAAGCTCTTTCTCCCATATAAAACGACAGGGGATTTTTTTTTTACTAATCGCATTCGTTGCAACTTTGGCGCGATGGGAAGGGAATCCACGATCTGATGGGAATCCACGATCTGATGGGCCATCAGATCGTGGATTCCCTTCACTCATTTCTATTGTACTGTAGGTCTGTTTTCCCTCATTAAGAAGAGAGGCTTTTTTTTAAAATCACGAATAACACGTAGAAGTGTGTCAAGCGATACCATTGGTGTCGACCGGTTTCCGCTGGATCGCTTTTCACTTCCTCGTTCTTTCCCACTCGATCACAAAACGCGTTTTTTGCGTCCCTTCCTGGAATCGTCGTCGATCCTTTCGACCGTTGAAGCACGGCAACCTTTCCTCGCATTTGTGACGATTCCATGCTTTTCTCCATTCGCCGAGCACCGCATCCGACACGAACTCGAAGAATCCGACACGCCTCTCGAAGAGGCGAGTCGTCACGCACGACTCGCCTCTTCGCATCGGATCACGCCGTGCAAGGCACGTGGTCGATCGTGACAATGTGGTGATCGCGGCGTGAGGTCGATCGCGGCACGAGGTCGATCGCGGCGTGTGGACCCCACCGAAACAATTAAAACCGATCGTGCCGGTCGCGTGCGAGTACGAGTCGTGAGATTCGCGAAACGCCTTGTAAAGCTTCCGCTCGGAATCCTATTCTACGTCGCATTTTCACAATAATCGCGGCAGGATGAATAACATTCCAATGCTGAGAACCTCAGCTGAAAAATAAAGGCCAATTTTTTTTTTTAAGGGGGGTTTGAACTCTCTGAGACCCAAAAACTTTGCTTCCATGCACATTTTGTAATCCAATTTTCGCGCAATTCGGGTTTCCAAAGCAACCAGGAGAGTCAACAATGATGTCGATTGAAGTATTATGCATGTGGATTTTATGCATGTCATTTTGTGGAGCCTAAGGGAATTTAGGATCTCCCTCGTGGGACACTGAATTTCGTTAAAACAACAGGTTTTTCTGTAATCGTCTGGAAATGGAATCGCATCGCTTCCCTCTAGCGATATACCAAATTCGCCCAGTCTTGTTGCAGTTACTTCCATCATTTTATATCCTCCTTGGAAGCGGAATCGTGTAAACATCCGAGGGAAAAGGAATCTCATTCAAAATAAATGAGCGACCCTCTAGCACTCGCGGATGATCCTGCACTAACGTAGCTCTTTTGAGTTCTTTAAAGCGTTGAGGGGACTCGCGACGGCACGAGGCACGTGGACGCCCTGCCGGACGCGGATTCGACCCTTGCCGGACGCCCGGATTCGCGGGTCGAATCCGCGTTCGGAGAACGGAAAGGAGATCGCAAACGAAAGTGGGCGGGGCTGGATATCCCGTTTCCGCACACAGAAGGGCATTCGGTCTTTCTGTTTCCGACCGGCGGGCCGGATTCCGCGAGCTCTGCTGACGCCAGCGGCAGGAATGACTATTTTTGAGTCGGGAAGATTCATAGACTCCCCCGTTTTTGTGTCGACGTTCACTCGACTCCGGGACGATACAAGTCGAATCCCGGGTTTACCGAAATTCAGCATCCATGGGAAAATTCGAAATTCCTCGAGATTCCACGAGACCCCCCGATACGTGCATCAAGATGGCCACGTGCCACGAAGGGACTCGGGAAGCTCACGTGCATTTTTCACGGCTGAAAAAACGCATCGATCTGAAAACGGAAATCGAAGGGCCGACGTCGCCACCGTCGCGCTGCAGTGGCTCTGACCTTTCGATATATATCTCCTCTGGTCCTCGACCTTCGTTCCGGACGATGTTCTTTTCCGCTTCGGCGTTCCGATCGGCCAAAATCCTTCATACGTAAATATGGCAGAGCAATGCGATACCGACGATCATCACGAAAAAAATTCACATTGAGTGCGATCGTAAACAGATCGTAAACGAATCGTAAACAGACCGCAAATGGAATTACTTGAAGGCAATACACGAGTTCCGGTCGGATTCGTCGTCTTTGCTTCGTGGACATAGTCACCCACCATTAACGCCACGATTCGCCATTGTAAGTCGGAGGCAGGGAGCACTAAGTCACGGGAATGGTTGTTATAATATAGATATAAACAAAAAAATCGCGTCTACGCATAAACTAGCGAAGCTGGCTGGAAGGCGAGGGGACGCGAGGGGACGCGAGAGGTCACGTCGAATCCAGGAGAGAATTGAGTGTTTCGCGAGAGGTTGTGCATCGTCGTGCATTCTGTTGCCGTATCCGGAGTTCACTGTATTTGCGGTCAGCGTTTCTTAAGTACCGGGGCATAAAGTCATCGGAAGAAACCTTGCCTTTTTAATTCTTACGTAGAAATAAAAATACCAGAACTCGGCAATTTTCTAAAGCTCACTTGAAAGGTGAAATTTTCCCCCCTAGATAACAGTTTGTTGCATCAGTATAACCATAGATACAACGGTGTCTCCCATGAAGGAAATTTCACGAAAGAGACTCGAGGAGAATGGATTGTAGGTAGGTTGACAAAAGAGGAGGGGGATCGGGGTGCGACCATGGGGATAGTAGCTTTTCTTTTCACTTGCCTCTACGTTTAAGTTTAATGCCTCTCTTGGTCCCCAATTTCGATAAATCGGTTCGTCGAGTCGCAAACCCGAGACAAACCCGCGGAAAACCCGAAGCAAATCTCACTCGCGGTGCTAGTCGATGGGAAAGCCGCGATTAAGAGTTTTTCCCCGACCACGGTCGTCAGGCACCGGTCCGCCACACGTACCTCCCACCGTCTTCGTTCCTAGGACTCGTGTGCCTGTGGTTCTTCCAATGGGTCCTGCTCTCGTCCGGGGAGAACATCCTCCAGGCGGCCTGGAAGATCCTCAGGGACCCAAACGAGACGGTGTTCCGCCTGACCCGACCCCAAGACCGATTCCAAGTGGAACGACCCCACCTGCGCTGCACTTCCGCCGGCGAATGCTCCCCGGACGAGGGCGACCGCGCCCAGCTGCCCAACCTCCGGCTGCTCCTCGTCGACCTCTTCAACTCCCCCAGAAATCACCTCACGAATGACTCCCTGAAGGAGGAAGTGGCCCGGTCCATCCTCTCCCTCTTTCAGGAATTTGAGCTTCGGACCGGAATCCAGGAGTTCGACCCCGAGGATTTCCCGGATCCGGTGGTAAGTTCCTTCTCGAAACTAATAATTGCGTGATATTTTTTTTTTAGCCATTTTTGGCTTCCTTGGATCCTGACGGACACAATAGGCAGTTATATCGCCATTATATTTCAAGCAGTTCTCGTAAAAAAAAATATGAGGTTTTAAGAATGGCCGTAAATGCGTTGGAGAGAAATTAATTTTTTTTTGTTGAAACAATTTAGTTTTTTTTTTCATTGAAGTCCATGGGGAAACGAAGGCTCCTTGCACTAAGATGCACCTTAGGTTTCGATGGAAAAGTATGCATGCTTTTTCCAAGAATATGCCTTTTATTTTTCTCTCTAAGAAATGAGCTAGGAGCGCTCCAACATCTCCCACTTGAAGCACGGACCGAGGTCATCAATAGCGCTGTGAGCTGATAATAAAAACATTATTGGCTGATGGGAAAAGTGAACCAGAAGGTGGTTCGTGAGAAAAGGGCATTTGGATTGAAAGCGGCCCAGAACCGGCATTTCTTTCCCGCTGGGAAGGATGGATTGTCCCGTCATCCCCACTTTTCTGCCCCGTACGTGACGCATTCGCCACAGTTCACGTCATTTCCCCCCTGCACTCGGTGGCAGGGGAGCCGTTGAGGCATGCAGCGGTGCGTCCGCTCGTGCGTGACGGACGGATTGGGCTCTATGGGGTATTGGTATAACCGGACGGGACCTTTTTTGTCGAGAACTTCCGGGACAGTGAGGGTCAATTGAGTATGGGACAGTCGCTGCTTAATTGAGGGACACTAACTGACTTCCAGGAAAAAAGTGGCAGCGTCGGCTACCAGTGACATGCTTAAATCCTCGAGTCGGCAGCTTCTCACTGCTGTGGAAATTTTCTCTTATTTTGATTGGGATGAACATGATCCCCCCCTCCGTGAGCTCCCCCCTCCGAGAGTGTAATTATTGTGAAAGTGACTTCGTCTCACGTACATACTCGATTCGTGAAATAGAGATTTTCCCAGTCCCCCCCCCCCCATACTTCTGCTCCCTATGTGTCCCTGTTGTCTCCCTGCAGTAAAATTGTCTGAAAAGGGAGCGCGACTCGTACGCAAGAGGAGTCGGTTCAGACCGAACTCAATCCGATTGGCATAATAATAACGGCTCAACAACGGAATGGCAAAGATCAACGATCAACAAGCGGCAGGAAGCTTCCCCCATGTCGACAATATCTCAATTCCTATCGAACTTGCACTTTAAAAATGGTCGGATATTTTCAGCAGAAATCACGCTTTTTGCTATTACTCGAAAAAGCTTTGGAAGAATAAAAGTAAAAGTTGAAATATGGGATGTGAGAAGACTCACTAACGCTACTGGAACAAAGCTTTCTGCGTAAAGCATCACGTGAGAAAATAATACATGTGAGAAGTTCTCTGCTGTCAGATCGTAAGCGTGACGGGAAAATCACCACTCCACTTTTTTTAATGTTACTGTGGAAAAAAAAAAGAAGAGCATAGTCCAAATTCACCTACGTTTTGAGTCCTGGTCATCTTTAATAGAACGATAAGCGTTTTGTCCACCGACTAAAAAGCACATGAGTCTTAGATTTCCAAGGCAATCTTCAAGCTTTTAGGGAATCTTGGAACTTAGAGGGTATATTAGGGGCTTGAAGGAGATTTTGAAATGGCCCACATGGCGATTGGCGATTCTGAAGGGGAATGATTTATGAATAGTTGCAGGCGGCTCGGACGGGGAACCAGTTGGAACTGGAGACCCAAGGGAAGAACATCATCGGGGTGCTCCCGGGGATCAACTGGGGGACCAGGGAGGACGAGATCACCGTGGTGGGGGCGCATTACGACACGGTGCCCTTCACGAGGGGTCTGGACGATAATGGGTCTGGGGTCGCTGCGCTCATCGAGACGGCGAGGGTGAGTCTGGGGGTCACGGTCCTCGGTTTTCGGGTCGGGCTCGAATCACGGTTCTTTTTTATTTCCTGGTGATTACTTCTCTTTCCGTAGACTTATCAGTTATATCTGGTCGTTAATACCAGGGTCGTGGGAAACTGCATTTCTTGATTTTCGAATTTCGTAGTTTTCTAGGGAAAGTCCTATGAATGTACCATTGGACGGAGCAGAACATAGGACAGATATAAAAAAAAAATGAAAATATCGATACCCTTCCTTCATTGTAGAATCATGAAATTTCACATTTATATACAGGGTGTCTGAAAAGTCACTCCCTCTTTTAAAACTGCTATTACTCCTAAACTGAAGGAGATATTGTAACCGTTCTTTCACTGTTTTCAGCTTAATCATTACCATTTCTATTATAAGTGAATAATGGCTGAAAAATTAAGCATAGAAGAACGAGCGACTTAATTTAATAGGTCGTCGAGGGCCAACGGAATGGCCTGCTCGAAGTCCAGATTTAACGCCGTGCGAATATAAGTGAATAATGGCTGAAAAATTAAGCATAGAAGAACGAGCGACTTAATTTAATAGGTCGTCGAAGGCCAACGGAATGGCCTGCTCGAAGTCCAGATTTAATGCCGTGCGACTTCTTTCTGTGGGGCTGGGCGAAAAAATTAGTTTAAAAATCAAAACCAAGGACCAATGATGAACTTGAAAACAAAATTCATGATATTCTAGGCAATGCACCAGGTGACTTCTTGAGAAAATCTGTTGAAAATGTACAGGTAAGGTTACAGAAGTGCGAGGACAATGCTGGAGCCTACGTCGAATTTTAAATTTGTAATAAAGCTTTTCAATTTTGTTATAAAGTAAACAGTAAAAAAATAAGCTTCAATTCAGTTAAATAAATGTTTTAATATCTCCTTTGGTTTAGGAGCAATAACAATTTAAAAATAGGGAGTGACTTTTCAGACACCCTGTAGTTCTAAAATTATCATCATGCACTTTAGTTACTTACCTATTTTTAGGTTTTAAAGGGTAATAACTATGTGAGATGTCCTCTATAATGTTAAGAAATGTAATGTTATAGAAGTGTTTAGGCATAATGAGACTACATTGGCAGCACAAAAGTTTGATGAAGGAGAACTCATTGAGACATTTAAGATTAAGGTGGTCAATAATGAGGAATATAACTGGCTCTTGAACTTGGTGGAAACAGAAAGACAAGGTAAAATCAGTTAAATTTAGACAATCCTCATATCTGACATAAATAAAGAAATGATTATGTTTCTTGATTGTCAAAGTTGTTACTTATGCCTAGTCACTGATAGACTACATTAAGATATTGTGTTATAGTTTTTTTCTTCCTCTAACAGTTTCAATATAAGTTAAAGCAAGATACCTTTATATCCAATGGAAAAAAAAGGAGGAAAAGCCATATTGCTATAACTATTCAGCAATAGAATAGCATGCTCTCGCCATCATCTGATAGGCCTATGACAAGATTCAAAGAAGCTTGGGATATTCAGCATCCCACCAACATGCATTGAAGAAGGAGATTGGAAAGAGCTGTTCATGTATGCTCTTGATCATCAGCTTCCCCAAGCAAGACTAAAAGGCCTAGTCAGGATCATGGAGGGCTAAAATTGTAGACTTAAGGTCGCATTATAAATCATAGAGTGCAGCTGGAATTGAAATTTAAAAGGCAATTTCTGTTACCTACTCTATGTTTATGAACTTATGCCTACCCAGCACTTCAGCCAGTACAAAAGTCAGATTGCTTGTTAAAAAGACATGCTAAAACAATGTCTCAAAAGGCATCCCAATTAACCAACATCAACCAATGTTTAAATAAATTGCAAAAATACCCTATCTATACATGTATAACCAGATTCTATGAAATAACCAATCTGAGGAAGACTAATATAAAATCCTTATCAGCCAATCAGAACATCACTACTCTCTACCTACCATTTCTGGTTGGTCTGCATGCTGAAATTTTCCCTCCAAAAACAGAATGCTTCTCATAGAAATTTTCAGTTGGCAAACTTGAGCTTGATTTAGCTGAAACTCTGCAGATTCCTTCATCTAACCAATCTTGCAATTTTTTATAGTGAGGCATTTAAGACACAAAAACTTCCTCAACATCCGATTATTTTCGACTCACTCTGAGTTAAATTAGCCAAATAATAGCAAACAAGAAGATTGAAACATGAGATTCAGTGCTGGCAGCGAGCTGTGCCTGGCAGGCCATTTTGTTAGGGATGAGAAATATTTATTCTGAATGGTTAGATCATCAAAAAGGTAATGTCGGACGGTTGGAATCTGAGATAACCACCTTTACTTAGATTTCTTCTTTGCCTACCCTGTATGAACGCCAAGGCGGCAGGCACTACCTGTCCAGAATTAGGCTTAACTTTGACCCAAGATAAAGTTAGGCTTCCGGATTCCTTGGATAAGAAAGGCTATATCTTATAAGCTTCTCCGCACCTGTAATGCACTCTTTCAAGCTGAAAAAGAAAAGTAATAAATATTGATTGCGACCAGGTTTTTTTTTAAGGGAGATTTCGTAAATGAGGTATGTAAGCTACGACCACGTGGTGAGCATCACCTGGGAGGGGACATGCTTCAGACACTGCCGTAGATGATCACCATGCGCCTGACTTCTCATTTGTACCGAGAGTCCCGGCAGAATCCAATGTTAACTTCTCATTAAATTTATACCTTAACATTTTGTTTATCAATATTCCGTCTTTTCTAATCCTTCATTAGGAATGAGTCTATACGATACAGCACGAACTTCGACCCCAAAATTTTATTTAACTTTTGCCAAAAAAGCAATGGAATGTGATTTTCAAGCTCTTGTGAGGTAAGTTTGATTCTTCCTTGCACATATAAGCACCCCCGGCCTTCCACACCACCAGTGGCGGAAACAGAAATTTTTCATAGGTGGGGGGGGGGGGGGTTCACAAGTTCCTACCACCTATCGCCTTTTTCATTTTTCTTCTGTGGTAAAAACTTGGATACCTATTTCACAGGCCCCAATAACATTAATGTAGATACTTTTTAAAATAAAATTTAAAAAATAGAATGCGAACCTTCCCAAGTAGCATGTTGGTGGTGGGCTACCATTACGTTTGAGGAAGAGAGCTGGTGGCCCACCGCCTTTACTAGGTTGTGGGCCACCAAGTACATGTCCCACTTGCCAGTGCTGATCAACCAGAGGGCCAGCACATTACGAGTTAGCACAGTTATGTTGTACCACAAGCTGGGAAGGGACCTAATGCCCCCCCTGCATGCCTGATTCACGTCTATAACTTAGGGCTCTCGCTTATTACGAAGTTTCCAAGAGTACCAAAATGACCATCTGCCCTCCTTTTCCTAATTCATCACTGAATCCAGAGAGAGTGAGTAGATACCATATGGTTTACCATATCGTACCATCTGTAGAATGTTCATACAATCTTGGGGAAGGAAAGCATTCAACCCGTTCCTAGTCCCGTTCACTTCTATATTCCCATGCTTAACTTTAGCATTTAATAATTCTCCGGATCTATTACTGCAATCAAAACATCGTAATTCCATTCTTTCCTCATATCTGTTTATAAATTGCACAATAAGAAGAGAAAAGAGGAGGAAGAAACACTTTTGCTAAATCAGGAAGGCAGGTACTTCATTAGTATGTTATTACAGTGCTTCTCAACCGGTGTGCCGCGGTATTTCCGGAATTATAGGAAAGGAAAGAAAATCGCTGTTTTATGATTCTCTAGTCTAATCACCGGCAAAAGACTTCCTCAGCGTGCAACCGGCGATGAAATATTCCGCGTTACGGATTACCTGAAAAGCAACATAGCAAAAACTGCACAACTACACAAAACTACACCGATGGAGCAGCTGCAATGACAGGAAATGTCAAAGGGTTTGTGCCAAATGTGCAAAATCAAAACGCAAATGAAATTGCACACATTACACACTCCATCGCGAAGCTCTCATGGCAAACAGCCTGCCGGATGAGCTGAAGTCAGTTTTGGCTGAACCTGTAAAAATCGTCAACTTTATCAAATCAAGACCTCTTAAGCCTCGCCTTTTCTCCGTATTTTGTGAGAAGATGGGGGCAGATCCCTACTTTTTCACACAGAGGTTCTCTGGCTTTCGCGAGGCAAGGTCTTGCGAATAATTTTTGAGCTTAGGGACGAGGTAGAACAGTTTCTAACGTTGCACCACAAATCGCAGCATGCTAGTTTGTTACAAGACTTACTGACTTGAAAAACTAGAATACGTGGCTGACATCTTTGAGCTTAACAAATTGAATTGAGGAATTCAAGGACGCGGTGAGAACGTGCTTACATAGATGGACAAGCTAAATGCGTTCAAATCAAAAACTTCAGCTGTATAGAGAAGAAATAAGACAACATTGGACATGTTCAAACGGACCAGTTACGCACATCCTAAAAAAGAAGCTGCTGGATGTGGTGGCAGAACATTTGGGCATGCTTCACAGTACGAAGGAGCAGTATGACTGGGTTCGCAATCCATTCGCTTCATCCGCGGAGGAATCAATCTAGGAGCTTTCTCTGAAGGCGCGAGAGGAATTTCTAAGCCTCAGGAGCAACCGCACTCTCAAACTCAAGTTCAGCGAAGTGCCACTGGACGCATTTTGGCTGCAAGTGAAAAATGAGCCTGGATGAGGATCTTTGTGTAGCTCTTTCCAGCATAGAGCCGAACATTAACAGGTTGACCGCCACGAGGCGCACCGGTGCGCCTCACTGAATGGGAAAATCAATAGGCCAGCATTTTCGTGGCGGTCAACGTGTTAAACGCCCCTGTTCCTCAAGATAGGTGCAAGTGTCTCACTAGTGTGAAATGAAAGTTCGGGCCTTCAGTTTCACACTTGATTGATTCAGGAAACTGTTTTAAATGAATCATTTGATTGCCCTTTAATCCTTAATGACATATTTGAGAACAGGGTTTTGAAAAGGAATAAGTTCATAATCTCCTTTATAGGCTGGATGTAATAAGTGTCTTTCATAATAAAACTTCAATTTAATGTGTTTGAAATAATTCATAAACCAATTGAAATATTTAAATGATTTTAAATGCACTACGTTAGTCATAATTTGTTCTATCAATGTGGAAAAGGTAATTTCTTTTCTCTTACTTTCATTGACAAGTGGGTGATGAGAATATTCTACACAATGACGTTGCGAAATTTGGGTTGGTGTGCCGCGAAGATCGAGCAAACTTGAAAGTGTGCCGTGACATGAAAAAGGTTGAGAAGCACTGTGTTAGTATGTTACAGGGAACAAGGGTATAATGTAGTGGAGACTCTTGGTACTGCATCTTGGTACTTGGTACTGCATCTCGGGGAATGCCAGCAACATTATGAGAAGGGAGCTGGTGACCCTTCACCTACACTAGGTAGCGGGCCAGCAACTGCATATTCCACTTCCCGCCAAGTTTCGACCCCGGCAGAAATCCGCCAGTATAGGGCCTGGGCCGCTTATGGCCCACTACTTTTGTGCTACTTGGGTGGCCATAGGGGGGGAAGGGGGGGAACTCCCCCTCGCTATGTGAAGGTTCTTGACGACTGAATCCTGAGGTAATAGGTTTTTTTGTTTGGAAAACATGTTTCACCCTACACTTCTCTATTCCCACACTTAACCTCAACCAGGATCGGACTGACCTACCAGGACTCCGGGAAATTTCGCCGGGCGCCCCCCCCCCCCCCCACCCCCCCATTGAAAGCGTCTCGCAACACTGTCTCGAAGAGCCATGGCATTCTTTGATGCAGGTCTATCTGAGCTTCCCAAGTCGGCATCATCAGCGGCGGAAGCATCTTCCGACTCAATGTCGGGGTATGGAACTCCAGTTCTGCATATGTTATGGAATATCGCACAAACCACAACTATTTTTGCATAATCTCTCTGATGCAACTTGCAAAGATCCGCATGACTTGGGCAGACACCTGAATTTCGACTTCCAACCCCCAAAACAGCGTTCAATGAAGCATCTAGTCTGCTTGAAAGCTTTGTTGTACTTTCTCTCGGAAGGAAAAGGAGAATCTTTCATTATGGGGTCAACAAGCACATTTGAAGATCACAAGTGGACACCCAAGCAGACATCCGTTCTCAAAATCCCCATTTTCAAATCGCACTTTGAGATCACACGCATTCTAGATGAAGCTGTCATGTTTACTTCCTGACCATTTGGCAACAATGTCTGTGAAAATACGATCAGAGTTGCAGAGATGCCTTGAACGTTTATCGTATGAAATAATTTTTTGTTCACATAAACATCCTCATCAGCAGATGGAGCCTTGATGAAAATTTGGCTTCCATCAGTTACACCAGGGACATTTGGGAACTGCGATGGCGACGAATCCTTGTTTTATGGCATTCAGTTTCCTGGGTTCTTCGGGAAAATAAACAAAATCATTCACTCTTCGACATGGAGCTTCTGATACTTCCTTGATACTGTCATCCTTGTCACACCAATGGGGTCGCCAGCTTCACGAATAAATTCTCCTTTGGCATAATATCTCAGAGAGCAGTGATGACTTGAAGACTGACAAAAAGAGATTGCGTTCTACGATTGGGTCTTCCTAGCTCGTCCAGCAATTTATACAGGCGCAGGATTTCACTTCGAGGCAATCGATATCTGTCTATCAATTCTTTGTTGTCATATATTTCGAGTAGGTTTGTTCTGTCCCAGCATTTTTTCCTTTTTCGATCTTCGAAGAAGGCACCGATTCCCGGAAGTGAAAATATTTTTGCGCCTGCTGAAGATGATGATATCGATGACCCAATACCTTAATTGGATTTGGCCTCAGCCAGTCGCAGAGCAAACCGTCCAAGAGACGTCAGGAAGAGCAAGGGAACGAGAAGCCAAGCATTTGCTGAATATAATCTTGTCCTCTTGACACTGGTGGAGACTGAGGAGAAGAGGAAAAAGCTGGAGACCGAGAGGTTAGCAATCAAGAGGGAACTCCTTGCGAAAAAAAGAGAGGTTGAAAATTGAACGAGAGATTGAACATTCAAAGGAGCAAATACAATCAGAAATTGGGTTCCACATTTGGCGGTGAAACATTTCACAATGATGAACCTAAGATAGTTATGCTGCTCTTGATGAATCTGCCTTGTGCCGATTTTGTTAAATATTTCTTGAGATAAAATTACTAGTCGATAACTTGTTGCTTCCATTTAAAACCGCTATTCAGTCATATACGAGTCATGTTCCTTCGTCCCGTGTGTCTTTGTGTTCGTGCTTTATATTGAAAATGCCGTGATCGGGGAATAACGATGAAGTAACCTAAGCCATCGTCAATTTTGGACACGGATATCGTTTTTCTGCTGATTCAACGAGCGCTCCAGAATATGTTTTACAGTATTTTGAAGAATTTCACTGAAATAAATTAAGATTTTTGTAGGTACAATTTTTCTCCATTTCAATTCATTCAGAAGACTAGGTACAAAACTCAAGTTCAGTCTTTATAATGCAATGAACGATTTCACAAAGGCAAGGATGATGAAATCAGCGCTATTACCTCTCTACACTGTTTCCGGATTGAATTCGTATCCCCTACAGGAGCGCTTCCATCGATTGCAGGTAGTGACACCTTTCACGTGGGTAGTTTTATCTATCACCTGCTGAAGCGGAACCTCTGGAAATGTGTTTTCTCCATTCTCCACTATAGGGGGGTGGTACGAATTCAATCCGGAAACAGTGTATTAGTGGTCCCGACCTATAGTAGGATTCGATTAAAATTTTCCTCTATTAGGAGGCAAAAAGCCGTTCTAGTTATGCTAGTAAATTCCTATTAGATACCTAATGAACACAACTCTTAAATCTCAGCTGTGTCACTGCTGAGATTAAAGTGTCCAGGCGAGAAAATAGCGATATGTATGTAATCCTACTGTCCCGCAGCTGGGATGCAACAGCATCTCATCAGCTGCCATAAAACTGGTTATTTCAAGCAAGGATTCAGCTGGGAAGGAGCCGAGACAAGTCAGCTGAGGAAGCTCAGTAATGTCCCAAGTGTTTTCCTGCTGTGAACATCCAGCAGTAATAAAGGCGATTATTGCGTTTTGAAGTGCAGCTGTTATTCAACAGGTTGCATACAACTGGGGTGTCTCTGTTGTGAGGCAACTGCATTCCAACTGGGGAAGACCAAGTTGGTCTGCGTGGGTACGTCATAGGGCGAATTCTACTAGATGCCACTAGATGTCGCTTCGGGTCTCGCTTTTCGCCAAGTACACAAAAGTTCACTTCCCTCTTTCCATGGAATCATCCCTCACAAGAGTGTTTAGTACCTCACTAAATGTCATTTCTAGTTTCATTATAGCAATAAAAAAAATCGGACATTTAATCATTTATTATCCCCATATTCGAGACAGAATCATGGAGCCCAGGTGATAAACAAGCTCATATTCCCGATGAGAACCGCTTGCATCCTTAGATACATACAACCAATACAGAGAATTTTAACTCAATCAATCATGGCATCAATAATGGCTTTAACCTTAGTGTCTTTATCTCTGGAGGGACAAGTAAAGGGATTTCCTAGGTAGCACTCTCTACGGGGAGGAAGTTGGGAAAGAGCTGAGTGTGTACCTTTAGGATAAGAGGAGGAAATTAGTGGAGTCTCAACTGGGAATGTCTTGCAGCAGAGAAAATAGAAGAGAAGAACTGCTTTAGCTCAGCTGTGATCCAGCTGTGCTGGAAGCATATGCTCTGTTGCATTGCAGCAGGGCAGGTCAACTTCCAGCATAGCTGAGCTACAGCAGTTCTTCTCTTCTATTTTTCTGCTGCTACTCAGCTGCATAACGTGTGACATTTCCACTTGAGATTCGACTGATTTTCTCCTCTTTCTCAAAGCTGCACACTCGGCTCTTTCCCAGCTGTAACCCAGCAGAGTGTGCTACCTGGGTAGATATTACACTGTTAGGCTCTATTAGGCTTTCCAGTTACGACCCCCAGTTACGGAAGAGTTAACTTTCATATCCACTCTGCAAGCGCACTAATAGGTGAAACCAACGAAACTCGAACGCTTCAGGAGTGTGCAACTTGACTCGAACGCTTAGGCTAAAGGTATCAGCTACTTGTGGGACTTGGGGCCGTATTCTATTAAAATCTTAAACTTAGTTAAAGCAAATCGCTCAACCTCGGCCATGCATTTGAATGGGGCAAATACCAGCTAAGCAACTTGCTTAGAGGAAAATCGCACTTAAGAACGCAATAGAATACGGCCCCTGATTCCTAAGCCACCCAACTTCCCATGTATAGTCCCGTTTTAGATTTTGATAGACATCTTGTCGATCGTCTCATCCCTGGCGGCCGAGAGGATTATCTTACAACCGTTTCCATCACCTTTTTCATCTTTTTCCCTTTCCCGTGAGAATCTTTATCAATGATCTGACTAGCATTGTATCGGCAGTCATGTTCCCTAAAGGAACAAAGTTTCCTTAGATGGGAGGCGAAGAATTTAATGATTTCCTCCCCTCCAGGATTAGAGATTAGGGACTTTCCCCTTTCCTTCCGTTTACCAAGACCACCCTCCCTTTGGTTCTGACTCGGTTGGGGACGACCGCATTTCCCCTCATCCCCCCATGCATGATGTGCGAGACAGGAAACTTAAATGGGAACAAATCCATTTCCTTTGGGGAAATCCCAAACGGGGAACTGACCGTTCGGGGAGTTTGTCATTCGGGAAACTGTCCTTTCGGGGAATTGACAGTCGGGGAAATAACCATTTGGGGAATTGACCGTCGGGGAATTGACCGGGAACCACCACCAGGGGAATGGTGGTGCTAGGCGCAATTTCCATCACTTCTGAATGGGTTCACCTAGAACGTCGACCGATGCCTCGTTTCAAAGAGCTTCGGTAGCACTATGCACTGGTGCAGCTCTGACTGCAAAACTCATTTCCAATTGTAGATAAATTTTCTAGATCGATGGGAATTTTGGACTATTGGACTGCTAATTTTGGACGTTAATTTGCCACGATAGGGATAAACGAAGTCCAGTCCAGTCCAGTCCAGCTTCAAAATCAACTTCAAAATCAACCATTGAGTGCACGTTTGCCCTTCGGGCAAACAAACTCACAATGGTCGCACTTTCGGCACTACCATGTAAGTGAACTGATTCATAAACATGCTCTCCTGGTACTCGCACCTTCTAAAACAATGGTACCCAACCCGTGGCCTGAGGGGAAAAAGTGGCCCGTGAGGTGCTTATCAGATGCTCGCGAGGCCCTAACCCACAATAAATACCATCCGGTTTCCTTAAAATAGTCTCCTACAGTACTACTTACTGCACATGGCCAGCGATGGCTGTGGGAGTGAGCTATGTGGCCCCTGAGCCGAAAAGGTTGGGTACCACCGTTCTAAAGCTATGAAATTCCATGGATGATGGGCATTTTTCTCTGTAACGCCACGTCGCTTCGGTTAAGGGACGTCACTGTAATTTAAATTTAGTATCTTTAAATGGAGAGTCTCAGTTTTTCCCCCAAAGACACCTCATTAAAATTTTCCTTCGCGTGGTACGTAAGAGCAGTTTCTTCAAGCTAGTATGATATAATCCAGAGTTATAAAGATGGCGAGAAGCACCACTATTCCCATGGTGGTGAAAGTTTGAGGGGTTCATCCCAGCGTAGGGCGCGAAACTTACTACCCCGTAGAAACCTTGACCTGATCTGTCAGATACTTACCGGTGTAGGAATCGAAGCACAAAAAGACGGGCGTTAAGAAGAGTACAGTTGCACCAGTTTCGTGGTTCTCGAGAGAAGAAAACGTTGCAGTGGAGGGATGGCTCGCGACGTCGATCGCGACATACCACCGCCAAGGGGAGTACCCCTCTGAAGAACATGACTATGTGAGGCCCACGGCAGTACCTTGAAGGAAGGCACAGTGGGCCAGATGGGCGAAAACATGCGCACAAATAAAATATCGGCGATATTATCTCATAGCGAAATGAAATGTTTGAATATTGCTTTCAAAACAAGTTTAGCTACATTTAAACGATTTTTGGGCTGTTCCGAGCAAATTTTTAAGAACAAAACAAGCCGTCAAACTTGTTTCGACTGCTTTCACAATCGAGACTCCTCTTGCATCCCTCATCCGGTTGTAGATAGGCCGTTGCGATGGTCCTTGGGAGGGAGCGAGAATGTAAACATCTCAGATAAGTAGGCATATCGATTTATGCCATATCAGATAGATCTGCTGCTTCGATCTGCAAGAAACTCTACTGGCTCGCTAGCGACGGTAAGCCCTACGCACTCTTCTAGTTTGAAAACCGAATTCTGCGGAATGACTTTGCAATTTAAACTTTTAGTAATTTTCCGGCAGACAAATGAGAGGTTCTATTCGAGCTAAGGACTAGCATTTGTTTCCTGCAAGTAATGGAAGGATCACGATAGTATAACTGTGACAAGGTAGTATGTTGATCATCGTGATAGCATCCACTTTTCGCAATTTCATAATCCCAATTTCACCTTACCAGCAGCTTCAGGCATCTTGTTCAGGGACTTCACTAAAATGTGGCATCGACCAACAAAAAGTACGCAGACATTTCCTCTACTAGAGCGCCATCTAGTGACGAAAATAAGTATCACCGGAATAAGTCGTTGCCTCTTCCATCGTTTTCCATCGAAGACGGTCGCTATCTCTGACTTTCATTCCACGACACGAAAATGATTTTTGCGCATCGCTGGCCCACTGTGGAATGGCATAAAAGGTGTGGAGAATATGCGAGTGAGATGAGGACATTCAAGAATAAAGAGCAGTGTCACAGTGAAATATAAGGAGGTTTCAATGGCTGACCCATGCGATTTAACCATCCAGATTCAAAATGGGAGGATACGAAACATGAAGACATCAACCTCCATTGTGATAGCAATTGGAAAACTGCAACGACCTCGTTGATGTCCCAGAAACAAAATATTTGCGAAAATAGATTTGTTCATAGATGAGTCATTTTGGCGTGCGCGTAGTAACATTTGCGTACGTCAAAAACACTACAGTCGTCGGTTTTGACAGAAATCAGATTCGCGTTCTACACCTGCCCACGGCTTGGGGAAAAAAAAGGAATTTCGAATTTTCATGTTTCGCACGTTCACGAAAGCACATTATTTTTTTTGTGGCTGAATAAGCCAATATGATTTCCCTCACATATGTGATCATTTGGCATCAACTGACCCAATTTATATTTACAGGGTGCCAGGAAAACCTCATTCCTCCCCCCTTCCTTCCAGGAAGAAAGGCGAAGGAATTAGGCGAATTGGTAAAATTCCAAATTTTTACTACCCGATGTTTGAAAGAAAGAAAATGATGGAACCAAGGTTGTCAAAAGGCCTTTCACTGTCGAAATATAGGGTGTATCAAAATCGACTTCTCAAAGTTGGTTGCTCAAAACTCCAGAACTAAAAATGATGGAAACGTAAAACAAGCTTTAGCACATTCCTCTATCTCTACTCTTTGCGGGAATAATTATGGAAATGTTCCATCGTACATTCGGTGATTTCTCCTGACAGTCAAAGCAAAATATCAAGAGAATAAAAGACGATAGTCAAGAACTTGTTAAGGGAGAGAGAGTAAACAAGTTAGGGGAGAAGTGGAGCAAATGAGGAAAAAAAGTTCTCGAGTGGGCAAAATATAAGAGTGGTGGTGAGACGGCGTTGACACGGGAATTCCCAATCGTTACAAACGCATGAGAACCTATAACAGACGCGGTGGATCATGCGACGAAACTTCTCCGGCTGGTCTGTGCGAGATTTTGAGAGGCCTGGGGCCGCATTCTATTAAAATCTTAAACTTAGTTTAAGCCGATTGCTCAACCTCGGCCATGCATTTGAATGGGGCAAATACCAGCTAAGCACTTTGCTAAGAGGAAAATCGCACTTAAGAACGTAATAGAATACGGCCCCTGGTTCCCATGCCAAGCTGGAATACTCAGCCCGTGGACAGAAGAGGTAGTGGTACGCTCTGACGAGGGGTGACATGCACCGGATCCATTTGAGCTAAACTAATTTGATCTCACGATGGTCCCAGATGGGAATCGGTTTAACAGAGATGAACTTATTCCCATAGACGCCCATTATGAAAACGAATCTGGTGCATGTCACCCGAGATGTACAGGGCGTTTCGAAAGTCCCTTCCTCTCTCCAGACGACTGCCTCCGGGAAACCGATGGGCACAACGTTGTGAAATTTGGTGCGTAGACCAGTTTGACCATGCGGAAGATAACGTACTATCATGTGGTGGTGATGGCATTATGGTCACACTAGATGGCACCTATGGTCCACAAACGGCTTACATTTTTAAAATAGCTGTTCGATGTGCTTTCCTTTTGTGATAGTCATAATCTCCAATCGTGACAACACATTCCAAACTGTTGCTTGAAGCATGTCAGGGGGTATGGAGCGGACTTCCTGCATATGCTCTCCTTCAACTCGTGGCATGTGGTGAGGCCATTGCGGTAAACACGGCTCTTGAGGTAACCCCAAAGCCAGAAGTCTGTTGGAGTGAGGTCCGCTCCATACCCCCTGATATGCTTCGAATGTTTGGAATGCGTTGTCACGATTGGAGATTACGACTATCACGAAAGGAAAGCACATCAAACAGCTATTATAAGAACGTATGCCATTTGTGGACCATAGGCAGTGTCGTACAGAGAGGGGTGCGAGCAGTGCGCCCGCACAGGGGGCCGATTGGCTGCCAGATCACTACAATATATGAATAAAACCTTTTTAAAAAATTACGATTTATCATGAATTCAACTAAATTAAGCAGATAAATTAATGCGTAATATATTGTTGGTGTTAGTGCTGGGGAAGCAATGAAGGGGGGGGGGGGGCGGGATGTCTCGCACAGGGCGCCAAATATTCTCAGGCTTTGACCATAAGTACCATTCAGTGTGATCATAATGTTATCATAAACAACCACATGACTACGTACGTTTCCTTCCGCGTGGTCAAATTGGTCTACACACCAAAGTTCACAACCTTGTGTCCATTGGTTTCCTGGGGGCAGTCGTATGAACAGCGGGAGTGACTTTGGAAACGCCCTGTATGTTCGATGCTCCCGCTCGTTTCAGGACTTTCAGGGTATGGTAACTCGTCTTCAGTCAGAGAAGAGGTCATCTTGCTCATTTGTTGGTCCCATTTCAAGTGCTCCTGGATCTGGATCCCGAGGTATGAAATGCTGGAACCGCGTTGGATTGCTCGGACGTCAGTTTCCGAGGGAGGTTGTCCTGTTTGGGAAATGATTTCTGAAAGTCAATTATGAGTTCTTGTGTTTTGGCAGCATTCAGCAGGAGTACTCATCGATTGGCAAATGTCCCAACGGCACAGACAACTTCCATATATCTAGCTAGATCGTTGAGATTCGAAATGCAACAGCCGCAACAGCCATGTCATATGTATATTTCAGAACGCTGCCACAAGTGCTTCTTAGTGCATCTGTGTAGTACGTGTATGTGAGAGCAATGGGCAAGGGGTCATTGCGGAACCCTTTCGGAACGCCTGTCGTGATGCTGACCAGACGCTGTTCTTTCCATTGTCAGTGTGTTCTTCAGATCTTGAAGGAGATTTCCTATCCATTGGAAGTTCTGGTGACCGACACCCCTTACGAAAAAAATCCTATAGGATCCTATGAGATTTTTTAAACATAAAAACCTTATACGATTCTCATAGGAATCTTATAGGAATCTCATAGGATCCTGTAATAATAATATAGGATCCTATTAAGAACCCCATAAGATTCCTATAAAAATCCTATGAGCTATTTGCGTTTAAAAAATCTTATAAGATCCTATAGGTATTTTTTCCTAAAAGGGACTCCGTCAAGATATTTCTTGGATAATCAGATTTCAGTTCAGCGTGTCGAACGCTGCGGTGAAGTCGGAAATATGAGAACTATCGCTTTAGATTAGTCAACAGAACGTAAAGCGAAGTCGATCAAACTTAGAATCGCCGAAGATTTTGATAACCCTATCCTATAGGAAGCGTACAGATTACGATCAAAACCAGTTTCGCAGTCGTTCTTGCGTAGGTTTTCACATATTTTACAGGTGGTTTGAGCAGTGCAGGCGTGATGGAGAGGTATCTCAAATCTTTTGGTGACGATTATTTCTTATTTTTGGGAAACACGACTAGTTTTGAATGCTTCCAGACTTTTGTTGAGCATCCCCGCTTGCGTGATTCTGCGTACAGCTCGCTTAGCGGCTTTGAAAGCTCTAGACCAGGGGTGTGAAACATACAGCCCGCGGGCCGAATCCGGCCAGCCGTCTGTTCTTGAAATGTCCGCTTGGATTGGCTGTTAGCGCAAATTTCGGCGAAATATTATGAGTGCGGCCCGCCGACAGATTTAAGTTTCACATCCCTACTCTCATTTCAAAGCACTTGGTTGAAAATGAATCCCATCGAGCACAAGAAACTCGAATGCCTTCAGTGTTGCTAGCAGCTCCCTTACTTCCGACGTGGTGATACTGGTAAATGGGAAGCATTCTGGTGTGATAATGTCATCAGGTTGGACTCTTTCGTTTTGACTATTGATCAGTGAGGATTGGATGGGGTACTCGATCTTCTGCATTGGGGCGTTGCATATGGATCGCGATGTCATCAATAGCGCTCCTGAATTTTCTCCGAAGATGAAACCTTTATGACGTCAGCAATATTGCTGATGGCATAGTACCACTTCTTCTCTGTTGGTCCTCTTGTGTGCATGTCGAGAAAAGCACTTTTCTTGAGGTCGATCGCTTGCCGGATGACATTTTGGAGGCAGTTTACTCCCTCTAAATCTTGTTTCAGGCTGGTCTCGATTTTGTCTCTGACGAGAACTGGTACTTCGTAGTCGATCCATGATCTAGCAGGAACAGAGGCTGAGAGTTCGATCGGTGAGGCACAGGTCTCGTACGAAAGAGATGTAACCCTAGACTGCTTCGGCAAGTACGTCCAATTACTTCCAGAGTCGGGAGTCGAGCAATCGCAAGCATATAACCTCCTCGATGGATACGTGGGAAGTGACCGCGTGAGCAGAGGAAACTCGAGAAAATTCTATAGTCCTCAGGTTGGAAGAAAGACGGTCAAAAAACCAGGGGATTTTCTCGCTCGTCTCATCTCGTAGAGATGAGAGAGCATTACGTCTATCCACGAGGCTGTGTCCGACGGGGAAGAGGAATGGATCCGAGGACGACGAGACTCCACTCGAAATACGCCACCGGACTCCCAACGTCAAAAAAGGAATCCTTACTCAAAGTTACCAGAACGACATCGCGGAGATCGGGCATAAAGGTCGGAGAACGCGAAGGAGAGTGACTCCCGTTTTTGCGATCCATAGCTGCCAGGGAGACAGAACGAATTCGGGGACGTACCTCATTCGTTCTGAATGGATCTCGGGGCATTCCCAGAAGATGGGAACGGCCCCTGCCCGTCGTGGATTCTGTGAATTCAGTCGGAAGCGGAAGACAGGACGTTTCAGCCCGATCGGCATAGAACCGGACTCGGAAAAGGAGTCGAGGGCTCGTCGTCGTTCCGCCTAAAAATCCTCACGATCGGAATGATTTTCGTCTTCAACAGGTGCAGAGGAGAACGTGGAAAAGGCCTTGGATTCCCTACTTCGGCAAGGGATCACCCAAGACTTCGGCAAGAAACTCGAGGAATGGCAACGGATGAAAGCTCGAACGGGAAATGGGAAAGAGGTGAGGAAGTCCCTTCCTTGGGAATTAGGAAAGGGATCGGTGGAATGCGGCAGGAAGTGCTTTACGCCGGGAGACTGCGACCGGGGGAGTGAAGGCCCACTGAAGGCCCACCCCATCCGACGCGCAATCCCATTTCGTGGCAGTAGGGGATTTTCGGTCTCGTCTGTTAAACTCGTTCGATACGGAGCCGCATGGCGATGTCTTTGGAACGTGACGAAGCGGGAAGGTGCAGGTCGGTGTGCATTTCGAACGACGTCTCAGACGTGTTCGAGTAAAATACACCAACGAGAAGTTTACACGAGCTACCTCGAAAATGCACCTTCGTACTTTGACCCTTGCGCTTGCCTTCCGTGAGACTCGGATCTTGCGACGAAATTCGAATGCGTCGGGTGTCACAGACGCGTGTCCACCCGACTCGCACATTTCACACTATTCTGGATTTTGCGTGAGTCTGGCAAAGGAAACGGCGTGGACGATCTCGATCCCTCCGTCTCGCGGACTGGGCGATCGAAGAGCGAGTCGTGCGCGACACCGATCCGCATGAACGAGATCTCCGGAAGAGTCCTCCGGGAGATCGTTCCCGCCGATCGTTTGCGTCGTTCTGGCGAGACGACAGGGATAGACGACGACTTCCTTTCGGGAGTTCCTCTTCCCGTCGGGTTCCACCGGTGGGCGACGGAAAGAGGCATCCTGGCATTCCGACCGTGGATAGAAAGAACGGAAGGGTCTCTCCTCCAGCATTCCGTGCAACGTGGGAGCCGGTGGAGCGGTGTGACGCTCAGTCCTAAGGAGGAACGCAAGAGAGGGAGGAAGAAAAAAGACATGCAGTGGTTGGAGAAAGAACTTCACAAGATCGAAAAGGAGAAACAGAGGCTGGAGAAGGAACGGGAGAAATATCGCGAGAGGGAAGAGAGGTACCCCCCCTCCCTGGTCGTCTTCAAATATTCTTTCTTTCAGCCCCTCTCCGGCTTCATTTCGCCGTGGGTGAATTTAGGCTGGAGAAGATTCGAGAGGCGATGCAGGGACACGGCCCCGAGGGCAATCGGGAAGTCCTCGTGCGGACTTCCACGGGAGAATACCGTTTCGAAGGCATCTCTCGAACGTTCGCCAGAAGACTCTTGGAATGGGAAGAGCGACAAGGGATTCGACCCGAAGCTTCCACTATCGCCCTCCTCGACCCCTCCTTCACGTCCAAGGTAAGACCGAACGTCCGTTGTATGCGGCGCTGATAAGACCCCAGTTGGAATATTGCATCCAGTTTTGGAGGCCTACAAATAAGNTGATATCGAAATGGGCGAAATCGCCTCTTGATATCACTATCTTGAATCTTGAAATCATGAATCTTGATTAGCTTGTAGGTTTCAGACAATTAGATTGAAAATGATCCCCATGTTATTTCCCTATGATCCGTAACTTTTTTAATGTCCTATAAGATTTGTGTCAAAAGTCAATCATGTTTTTTAGTATCATCGTAATTTTTAGAAATTCAAAAATATTTAAATTAAAAATTAAAAAAGGAAAACTTACAAGACCACAAAAATGAAAATAAGGTGTCCCACCCGTAACAAAATTAGTTCGCTGTCGGGACACTTACGAATCACTGTCAAATTGCCCTGCTTGTTTCCATTTATCTGACTAATTTTATTTTAGAATGTGTTTTAGAATGTGTGTCCCTGTCAAGAAAAATAGCCTTAATAATGACCATTGATTCATATCTGAATCTGCATGAGGATTGGAAGTAGATTTGATATCAAAATATTTGTCCCACTCGTAACACTTCTAAGCCAGTATTTTAAAACCGTAATGAGGTAAAATTCATTTCTACTCATGTTTCATGTGTACATGAGACAGGAAACCCACTCCACAAGTAGCATTAAGCTGACCAAATTCTGCATGTGCCAGGAGGACTTAAAGCCTCTTGTTCCGGGTGGGGACATTTTTGGTGCAGTTTATTACTTCAAACAGCAATATACAGAGTCGCGCAAAAGTTCCCGCACACTTTGATTAGAGCTTCGATTCTCTTTAGGCGTCATAGCTCCAGAGAAAAAAAAATTCAAATAAAGACTGAAATTTACTATTATGAAAGCATCTGGTAAAAAAAAAGTCTGTAGAATTAAAAAAAAAAGCAAATCAAAATCGCCAAAAAATCCGTTGATTAGTGAAAAAATTAGATTTTCAAAGTTTACGGGAACTTTTGCACAACCCTGTATATATTATGAAGGGTCCTGGAGCTCAACCGCGCTAGACTTAGATGCAGCAGAACATCAGAGACAAATACAGATTGACAGAAAATAAAAGTTTTTAAGTAGAATTTTCCGTTTTGTATCCTTGGAATTGCTCCTTTTTGGCCTGAATCACTCTAAAGTAATTCCTGTATTGTTTATATTCTTCTTGTACAAATGCAATGAGTATAAGGCTACAATCACGGCTACAATCTCATGCTATTGAAATTTTGCGGAGCCTCGTTGAGGCAACATTTGGTTCGGCACGAGAGACTTTCGACACGATCACGCACTAGGAAAATATGGTCGAACGTGAGGGTGCCGCGAAAACACGCCAAACTCTCCTGACTGGCTTTTTCAAGTGATTATGTTAAGATTAGTGTTGCACGTTTGGTATTATTGTATAGTATGCACGATGTTATATAGCATAGAATCCAAAAACCCTCCATGACTCGAATTTTCGTTAACTCGAGTTTCCCTTGAACTTCGAGTTATCGAGACTAACTCACCGTATATCGACCCCCTTCTGGAGCGAATTAGACCCAATTACGTTTGTTCGTAAGGTATTGGGAGATCCCAAGGCGGCAGGCACGGACGGACGCAACGATCCAGGCAACGATCGGTGACGGCTCCTCGTATTTAGCGTATTTAACATGGAAGGAGGGTAGACGGGGGAAGGGATTGCCTACCCCCTCTCCCAAGACGAACCACCGACGCTAAATATCACGTGCCGCCACTGGCAACGAACGAAAGAAACGGGATGGAGTTTCCGTTTACAAAGATTTGCAAAGAGCCGAAAAGGCCCAAAAAACGTAAAATGGAAGCGATTGGCCATCGCCACCACGAAGAGGAATCCATCGACAGGAGGCGGACCTCCGTCGTCGGAACGAGCGGAACTTCCTTCGAGGTAAAAATGGCAATCCGTCGACGAATCGGTCTGGTCGGATCGTTGCAGACCGACTGGACGGAAAAGGGAAAATATGGACTCCCGAGAATTCGATCGTGGAAGTACGGAAGCATCCGCTTCTGTATGACATGATGATGATGAATGGTTTATTTCAAATGGGAGAGGTAGTGCGAAAGCAAATTGATCTCCCGCGTCAGGCATACAGATACGAGTACAAAAGCAAAAATGTGTCAGGATAGGGAGAAAGAAAAAACAGGTAAAAGCATGAGGATGTTATGGTCACAGAGAGGGGGGGAGCACCAATACGAAAAAAGGTAATAACGTAAAACGGTAAAAGGTAAGAATGGCAAAAAATGGGGACCTAATACCGGATGGGTCACACAGCCTTGTTTAGTAATCTGGGAACAGTAGTCATAAAAACGTTTCGTACGACATTTAATTTCGCACAGGAGTTTTGTCAAATCGTGGCGAAGATTGCAGTTAGTCGGGGTCCGGTAGGGGGGTAGAACGTGTCGGCGGTCAGGATTTCTCAAGAGGGAGGAACCATATTTGGCAGTGAGGATAGCTCTCCTCTCCTGGAGTGAGGGAAGTTTGAAGGAGGCAAGAGCAGCCTCATATGAGGAGTAATTGGGACTCAGGATGAGATGCAGAGCACGCTTCTGAATTAGTTCGAGAGAATGGGTTTGAGAGACAGTTAGGGATGAGTGCCATAGGCGGACAGCATACTCCAAGACAGGTTGTAGGCAGTCCACAGTAGGACGAGCTCAGGTATGAAGGCTCCTTATGTTTTCAAGACTTTCAGCATAAAGATGTGCCTGGATGCTTTGGACAAGATGTCCTTAGTGTTTGCGTCCCATCTTAGGTCTGATTGAATCATCACGCCTAGGAGGCGCACTACTTCTAATGATTGTAGGCAGCCGCCATCGATGGTCAGGTGATGAGCTGGGATGGGGTATTTTGTAAAGCAAAATTGAATTAATGAGCACTTTTCAGGATTCAGTTTCATTTTGTTTAATTTGGCCCATTCGTGCTCTTGATCTAGGGCGTCTTGGAGATTAGGGGGGTCGTTTTATGAGTAGTCACAAATCATGGTTTAATCGTCCACATATTTGAACGACAAGGTTCCTTCTTGGAGGTCATCGTCCACCATCACGGAAAATAAGAAGGGGCCTAGAACCGTCCCTTGAGGGACTCCACACGAGAGCGGAACTTCCTCAGAAAGGACTCCTGAGTACCGGGTCTGTTGGGCTCTGCCTTGGAGAAAAGCAGCGATCCAGCGAACCAATAGGGGGTCTGCTCCTAGTGATAGTAGTTTTCCAATGACGATGGTATGGTCGACGGTATCGAACGCCTTACTAAAGTCCAGGAGGATACCGGTTGCCGCTTTCCCAGAATCTACCTTTACGTGGACAAAATGCAAAAGGTCAACCAGGTAGTCAAGCGTGGACAAACCCTTGCGGGATCCATACTGAGATGGGTGAAGCTTCATGGAGATCTCCTTTAGTCTAGCTAGGACGATTTTCTCGAGTATCTTGCAGGGGATGCATGTGAGAGATATGGGTCGAAGGTCGTTGAGGGTTTTTGGTCGGTGCTTCTTTGGAATTGGGACAACAGTGACCAGTCTCCAGGCTATGTGTACCTGGCCGTCATTGATGGAAGGGTTGAAAATAAGGGACAGTGGGGTGGCCAACTCCAAGGCGAACTCCTTGTATATTTTAGACGGAATACCATCTGGTCCGGGAGCAGAAAACCCCATAACTTTCTGGAGGAGCTGAAAAACCTCATAGTGTGTTACTTCCAGAGGCGGGTCAGGAGGCAGGAAAGATAGCTGGCTTCTATCCAGGGGAGCTGGGGTTGCACACGGTCCAGAGAGATGCCGGTTGATAACATTAGCGGCCTTGGCAGGATCTAGGGTGGAGATGTCGGGAATCGAACGGAAGATGGATGAGTCCTTGGTTAGACCGCAGAGGTTTGCAACTTGCCTGTGCCATTTTCTTGGGTCCGATTTTCTCAGGCTTCCGACTTTGTTGCGATAATGCTTTTTTTTTAGCAGCGTATATTTCCTTCTTCACCTAGATGACCAAGCAGTGATATTTCTCACTTGATTCTGTATAGAATGCTGCCTGTCGCTTTTTGATCAAGTGCTTTATTACCCTTGTCTCTGGAACTGATACGGCACTTTTGTTGGGGAAAGTGTAAATCTATCCCCTTGTTGAGAGTTCTTGCGAAGATCGTTTCTTTGGTATTCGTGTCAGTAGCAGCTGTTAGCTCAGTCCAATCGAAATGCGTCAACCATCGTCCGAAGCTTCGTAAAGCAGTCAGGCAAACGGCGAAAAGTCATAGATATGATTTTCTGGGCAGGGGAGACATACCGGCGGGGCTTGTACTATATTGCGTTATGGTCGCTGTTCCTTAGGGAGGCGTTCCGGGTCCTCGTACCACCGTCCCATGTCTGTCAAAATGAGGTCGAGGGTTGCATTTTGACGAGTAGGGCATGGAACAACTTGATGTGTTCAATCTGGATCTGCCAGGGAATTTCTAGGTGGGGAATAGATTCTGCAAAGGAATGTGGTGTCAATCTCACGAGGGAGCCATGAAGGTCTTAACTGGACCCATACTACTTCCATTTTTTCTGTGATGGAGATAGGTTCCAAATGTGAAGCGATCTCGTCGTTCACTATCACGCTGACTCCGCCACCTTTGGCCCAGGATCTTTTGCAGTGGTAACCAACATATCCTTCCACCTGGGCAACTGCATCCTTTCCATCATTATCATTGAACCATGTTTCGGTCGCTACAGCGATGGATGGTCCTAAGATCCCCATTAGTAATTGCAATTCATCGATCTTGTTAAATAATGACCTCGCATTTGCAACATACCGGCTTGGAAGGAATTTTCGTTTCGTCTTTTTCCCTGAGCGTTTCCTCATACTCATTTTCAGAAGACTGTGAACCCTGAGGGCATTCAAGAGATCATTATCAAGGCGACACCTCGCCTGGTGGGATTTCAGATGGAACAGCTGCTTACGGGAATAGTGAGACATGTTGGCTAGACGGGCTCTTGGTTCAAGGCCACGCGAGGTGAAGCGCTAGTTCCATCGGTATACACGATATGATGAAAATAGTCCATGCCCAGAAAGTCCGACAGTTCATGGTGGATGCGCACGGACCGTTCAAACGAAGGCGTGAGGTTCCCACTCAGTCAGAGGGTGACACAAAATGAGAATTTGTAGAAAGCAGGCTAAAAACATGAAATACCACAGGACACACACGAACACGGTGTGGCTGCCTGTCAGGGCGCCATTTTTTGAGAGATCAAATTCATTCAGATTCATTCAATACTGGACCATTCACGGTCGAAGTATCTGCAGTAAATGATTTTTTTATTTAAATACTTACTCCATCAGTGTTTGCAATCACTTCAGCCAATCCACCAGGAAGTATTTCTTTCAAGAGGAACGTTCGATTTAGAGCAAATAAGACTGTGACTGAAAGGCATTCAAGTTTCATCGCATCAAGCAACTAGAATGGCAATTTCTGCTCGCATAACTAGGAGCAAGGATTCAAAACCTTACTGAGTCGGACCTATTTTCCGATATAAGCACCGACGTGTTTAGAGGGCTTGGTGTAGAAGAAGTGATGTGACGACACTAGTTAGATATATTTTAATTAAGCTTGAACTGTAATGGCTGCTGAAATCATTCCTGGTTTCTTAATTAATAAATGCAGAAGTGTTGTTCTGGGGCAGTCTTGATGGTGCATGGTTATCATGTACAGTGTTTCCTATTTGAATCTGTTTTTTTTTTCATCGTTGCTGCGTAACATGACTACCTGAGTGTGGTGAATGCCTTTGAGACGTATCGAAGTACTGTAGGTTATCGAAAGAATGGACAGACTCACGTGAAACAACTTCGCATGCGTCAGGATTGCTTTATTTGTTAATTAAAAAGACGCTTCAGAATGGCATCAGTGCTTCAACATTGATTCGATGTTGACTCGATGTTGAAGACGGCAATATTGCGAGAACGTCGTCCGGTCGACGTTACATCAACAGATGTCAGGCGAGACATCTGGCGAGACATGCGAACAAACAAGATTTCCTGACCTCGAAGTGTGATGGCGACTACTTGCCCAACATAGTTAGTTAACGTATTTTTGCAATCGCTACGCGTATCTAGTACTTTTCGAGCAGTACTTGATATTTTCTCCGCAAACGACGCCGGGAAAGGTATTTGACTTCCTGGATATTTTCGACCAGAGTGGCAACTCGACCAAACAGGACCCAGGATAATTCTGAACAGGGTGATAGACACAAAAAAGTTTGCGAGGTCATATTACTCCACCAGACCCAAATCACGTTCTCTGTCGAAGGATGCACGGAGTGAGGGTAGCCTCCGATTGCATCGCGGTAATCACGCGAGTGTCCTCCTCCTTCCGGGGGAGTAGGATGCCTCCTTCTCGTCTCGGTATTAAGATCGCATTGTACTTGGATACTCTTAAAAAAGAGGATTCGGAGGACGGAGATCGTGTCTCGATGATACTTGAGTCATGGAACGGCGCATGCGCACGAATGAAACAGATTGTTGAGACCTGTCATATATACGTCGAACCAGCGTGGATTCAACATTTCTTCAATGTTAAAGATAATTGATTTTCAATATGGAGTCAACGTTGATAAGCAAATGTTGAATCAACTTTTCAATGTTGGTTTTGAATATTGAATCAATATAACGTTGATGTCAACGTTGAATCAATTGTTGATACAAATGAACATTCAATGTTGACAGGGCAACGTGGGTTCAACGTTAGCTGCGTTGACGAAATGCCGTTGAATCAACGTTGATTCAACGTGAGTGTGCTATTTGGGTCGTGACATGCCACAAGTGTTGAAACTCCCGCTATGATCGTGGCAGGCGCTGCTATGACTGTGGATAACCCGGCAAAGACGGTGGCAGGCGCTGCTACGAACGTGGCAGGCCCTGCTAGTATCGTGGCAGCCCCTTTTACTTTCGTGGTATGCCCTGTTGGTATTACGACATGCACTGCTATTAATATGGAGGGCATTGCGACGTAAGTCTCTGCCCCAGCAACGAACGTTGCAGGCCCTGCTCCGTACGTGGTAGGCCCCGCTACGAACGTGGCAAGCCCTGCTGACAACGTGGCAGCTCCAGCTATGAACGTGGTATGTTCCGCTAGTATCGCTTCGGGCCATGCTACGAACGTGGTAGAACCTTCCACGAGCTTTGTCGCCCCCGCTTTGAACGTGGCTGGAGCTGCTCTGAACGTGGATTGCCCTGCAACGACAGTGGCAGGCACTCCTTCGACCGTGGCAATACCTGCTACGAACGTGGCAGGCCCTGCTACTAACCTTGAAGCCCCTTTTACGAGCATTACAGCCCCCGCTTTGAACGTGGCTTGCGCGGCTATGAACGTAGAGACCCCTTCAACGACAGTGGCAGGCTCTGCTACGAACGTGGCACGAAATGCTTGTTTCTTTGTCGGCATTGCTACGAACGTTGTAGCCCCTGCAACGAGCGCTGCAGCCCCTACAACGAGCGCTGCAGCCCCTACAACGAGCGCTGAAGCCCCTTCAGCGAACGTTGCAGCCCCCGCTATGAACGTGACTGGCGCTGCTATGAACGTGGCAAGTCCTGCAACGACTGTGGCAGGCGCTGCTACGAATTTCGAAGGCACTGCTACGAACTTGCCAGGCCCTGCTACGTTCCTGGAGGGGCCCTGGTAGCATCGTGGCATCGCCTGCAACGAGCGTGGTTGACCTATGTGGTAGTACCGTATCAGGCTCTTCAAGTCACCTGACAGGCACTGCCATGAACTTGGCATGCCCTACTAGTATCATGGTATCCTCTGCAACGAACCAGGAAGGGCTTGCTACGTGCGCGTTAGGCCCTGCTACGAACGTGCCAGGGCTCTGCCAGTCTCGTCGTATGTTCTGCTGGTATCGTGGCATGCGCTGGTACGAACATGGTAGGCCCTGCCAGTAGCGTATCAGTCCCTGCTAATTACGTGGAAGGCATTGCTATGAGCGTTGCAGTCCCTGGTTCGAGTTTTGCAGCCCTTGCTACGAGCGTTGAGGCCCCGCTATGAACGAGTTTGCTTCGACTACGACCATCGCCGGCACTCTTACGAACGTGAGAGGTCCTGTTAGCATAGCAGTGGAATAATATACTGTTTTCCATTTTTTTAAAGCTCTTTTCGGTTAAAATTTTTAAACCGAAAAGAGCGGTTTAAATTTTTATATTTAACATTTTTTTCTTTTATGCATTGTTTTTATATTTTGTGTACATTTTCCATATAATATTATTTGTTAAATAATATTAATGTAATTGCATTAATTAAGATTATAGAACTGACGGGTGTGGGATGGCTTCCGACAGAATTTAGTCATGCATACTTGAGTCCATTGTATCGATAGTATATATTACGTGGCGGAAAGTCACGAGAATCCGACGGAATTACCAGAGAAACAATAGAACTACAAAGTCCACATGAATGGACGCTCGGTCTGAATGGATTAAAGTAATGTTAAAACCACGATGGTTCGACGCTGAAATGAGAGACGTCTCACTATGTGAATATGACTTCGACGCGATCACTATCCTCCGAAGTCGCTTTTAAAGATCCCTCTCTCCAAGCTAAATATAGTGTTCATGCCGAGATGAGAATGAAACGTTCATTGAACATTCGTTAAACACTCAGGTGCTACTTGCGTTGGTACCAAGGAGGCCGAAGCTCGAAACTCCGAAAAGCTCTCTACTTGTGGCAAAGGGGTCAAAAGTGATGGAAGCTCTTGCCATCAGGCACCCACTCATTCGCGACGCAGACGGTCCGGTCGGCCTCCCTGTTCCTGTATATTATTGTGTTGC